ACAAGAGTGTCGCGCAACAGTGTCCCAAGAGTGTCTCACAAGAGTGTCCATTAAGAGTGTCCCACAAGAGTGTCCCGCAACAGTGTCCCACAAGAGTGTCCTACAAGAGTGTCCCACAAGAGTTTCCTACAAGAGTGTCCCACAAGAGTGCCCCACAAGAGTATCCCACAAGAGTGTCCTAGAGGAGTGTCCCACAAGAGTGTCCTGCAAGAGTGTCCCACAAGAGTGTCCCACAAGAGTGTCCCACTTGAGTGTCCCACAGGAGGGTCCCACAAGAGTGTCCCGCAACAGTGTCCCGCAAGAGTGTCTCACAAGAGTGTCCCTTAAGAGTGCCCCACAAGAGTGTCCCGCAACAGTGTCCCACAAGAGTGTCCTACAAGAGTGTCCCACAAGAGCTTCCTACAAGAGTGTCCCACAAGAGTGCCTCACAAGAGTGTCCCACAAGAGTGTCCTACAGGAGTATCCCACAAGAGTGTCCTACAAGAGTGTCCCACAAGAGTTTCCTACTAGAGTGTCCCACAAGAGTGTCCCACAAGAGTGTCCCACAAGAGTGTCCCACAAGACTCTCCTACAAGAGTGTCCCCCAAGAGTGTCCCGTATGAGTGCCCCACAAGAGTGTCCCGCATGTCCCACAAGAGTGTCCTACAAGAGTGTCCCACAAGAGTGTCCCGTATGAGTGTCCCACAAGAGTGTCCCACAAGTGTGTCCCACAAGAGTGTCCGACAAGAGTGTCCCATAAGAGTGACCCACAAGAGTGTCCCACAAGAGTTTGCAACAAGAGTGTCCCGTAAGAGTGTCCCACAAGAGTGTCCTACAAGAGTGTCCCACAAGAGTGTCCTACAAGAGTGTCCCGTAAGAGTGTCCCGCAACCGTGTCCCACAAGAGTGTCTTGCAACCGTGTCCCACAAGAGTGTCTCACAAGAGTTAAGAGTGTCCCACAAGAGTGTCCTATAAGAGTGTCCCACCAGAGTGCCCTACAAGAGTGTCCCAAAAGAGTGTCCTACAAGAGTGTCCCACAAGAATGTCCTACAAGAGTATCCCACAAGAGTTTCCTACAAGAGTGTCCTATAAGAGTGTCCCACAAGAGTGTCCTACAATAGTGTCCTACAAGAGTGTCCCACAAGAGTGTCCCGCAAGAGTGTCCCAAATGAGTGTGCCACAGGAGTGTCCCACAAGAGTGTCGCGCAACAGTGTCCCAAGAGTGTCTCACAAGAGTGTACCTTAAGAGTGTCCCACAAGAGTGTCCCGCAACAGTGTCCCACAAGAGTGTCCCACAAGAGTGTCCCACAAGAGTTTCCTACAAGAGTGTCCCACAAGAGTGTCCCACAAGAGTGTCCCACAAGAGTGTCCCACAAGACTTTCCTACAAGAGTGTCATTTGGACATATGTAGCTTTCCGAACGTGTTTGCTTTCGGGTTCGTGGGCTCCATCTTGTTTGTTTTTTTGGATAACTCGAGGCTATCCAAAAAATAGAAATAGAAAACCTGAACTATTGAGACCTCTTCCATGGTGTGTAAAGTTTTGGACTTGTTGGATAACTCGAGGAAATCCGAAAAATCCAAAACTATCAGGCCTATTGAGACCTCCTCCATGGTGTGTAAAGTGTTGTTTTTTTAATAACTCGAGGAAAAAATATCAGGACTATTAAGACCTCCTCCATGGTGTGTAAAGTTTTGGATCTTTGTTCTTGTTGGATAACTCGAGGAAAAATATCATTACTATTGAGACCTCCTCCATGGTGTGTAAAGTTTTGGATATTTGTTTTTGTTGGATAACTCGAGGAAAAAAAGTATCATGACCATTAAGACCTCCTCCATGGTGTGTAAAGTTTTGGACTTTTTGGATAACTCGAGGAAATCCAAAAAATAGAAAAACTAAACTATTGGCCAAATAACTAAACTATTGGCCTTTATAATTTGTTAAGTGTGCATCATATTTTTGAGGGGAATGAAAGAATACTGGTATTTTGAAATACCTGAATGAATAATCAAGATTGCATTTTACATGCGCCGCGCCCCTATACTTACCTGTAAAATGACACTGGTCCCGTACCCTTTCATCATCTTCTTTAAACAGTTTATTACATATCTGGTTGAATTTTGAAACTCTATTTCTTGTCCTTCAGTAATATCCATGTTCTTATTTACATTACTTTTATCTGATATTTCTGAATGTATTTATTTTAACTGTTCTACAAATTTATTCATACAATCCTCACCTCTATAAAGATTAGGGGTAGAAGTGTTTTCAATCCTATGTACAACATTCAACATATAACCACAAGGTTTATGCTCTTGATATGAACCCTTTATGCCCATCAGAAGTATTTACAGTCAAAATTCAAAATCACCATAAATAAAAGAAGGACAGGGTAGTTTGGTATTGTATTTTTCAAATTCTATATAACTTCTAATTTTAAAAATAGTTGATGCCTGTATGTTCCGTTTAAGACACTATTATTTTCAAATTGTTTAGTTTTTAAACTATAGTTTCCTGTAATTTCATGTTTAGAATGATTATTTTATTGTATGTCCCTTTTTAACAGTACTATATGTTCTTTAAAAAATCCGCCCGCACCGAAGGTGCTGAGGCGTTTTTATAGGGCACGCATGAACCGCAAGTACCGCAAGTAGTACTGATAGCTTTAGCTAGGGGGGTGCATTTTCGCTCTAGAATCCAGTGTTTTTCACGTTTTTGGAACCGGCTGAAAGTGCTTTCGTGCTAATGTTTGTTATCTTGAAGCCTTTAGAGATGCAAGAAATGCAATTTTCTGCTTTGCATCATCTGCATCAGCTGAATCATCTGAGCGGT